CTATTGTTAATATTTTAAATATGCCAGTTATGTTATAAATAAATGTTTAGATATTTAAAACACTTACTGCTTGATCCTTCCCCTGAATCTGTGTCTGGGATAACGGCTGGGGAGGGTTGGTAGGGGATCTCTGTGAGGGTGATGAAGAGCTCCTGGCTGTCGGGGAAATCAGCGTTGTAAGCGCTGTCTACTGCCTCGTCCTCCTCATCTCCTTCCTCCTCTTCCCCGTCCGCTGAGGAACCGGCCATGGACAATATCCCATCCTCAGAGTCCACGGTCAGGGGTGGGGTAGTGGTGGCGGCCGCACCTAGGATGGAATGCAGTGCCTCGTAGAAACGGGATGTGTGGGGCTGGGATCCGGAGCGTCCGTTTGCCTCTTTGGTCTTCTGGTAGCCTTGTCTCAGCTCCTTGATTTTCACGCGGCACTGTGTTGCATCCCGGCTGTATCCTCTCTCTGCCATGGCTTTAGAGATCTTCTCATAGGTCTTTGCATTCCGTCTTTTGGAGCGCAGCTCGGAAAGCACGGACTCATCTCCCCACACAGCGATGAGATCCAAGACTTCCCGATCCGTCCATGCTGGGGCCCTCTTTCTATTAGATTGCACGGCCATCTCTGCTGGAGAGCTCTGCATCGTTGCCACTGCTGCTGAGCTCGCCACGGTGTCCAAACAGAAACTGCGATTCAAACTGCCCAGACAGGAAAAGGAATTCAAATTTTCCCGGGGTGTGGCTGGTCAGAGCATCCGAGCTCGGACTGCTGTCCAGAGCGTCAACAGAGTGGTGCACTGTGGGATAGCTCCCGGAGCTATTAGCGTCGAATTCCATCCACACCTAGCCTAATTCGACATGGCCATGTCGAATTTAGCGCTACTCCTCTCGTTGGGGAGGATTACAGAAATCGATTTAAAGAGAGCTCTATGTCGAACTAAATAGCTTCGTGGTGTGGACGGGTGCAGGGTTAATTCGATATAACGGCGCTAAATTCGACATAAAAGCCTAGTGTAGACCAGGCCTAAGAAAGCAGTACTTGACTTTTAAGTCACAGATCCAACCATCTGCCAGCAATATAAAAAGTATGCTATACCTACAAAACTGCACATAGCTAGTCTATGAAAAAATACTTGCATTACTCTTCCATGATCCTCTCCCCTTCTCAGCATTTGTTACATATTTTAAGTTACGAACACAGAACATTTAGGGAAGAATGCCCTTTACTATATGTCTGTAGAACTCATTGCACAAGGGAGCTGTATTGGTTTGGGGCCTTAGGTATTACTAGAATAAAAAAAATAAACTGTGTGCATAAATTAAGAGAGCAACTGCATGACTAATCCATTTTACAATTAGTCCCTACACATTTTATGTGATTATTTCTTACCAAACTTTTGTGTAGTAAATGTAAATACAGGACCACTTGTGCCTCCTTCATCTGTATGTGCCTCCATCTTCACCATATATAAAGTGTCACTGGATAAGGAGGAGAGGGTATATTCTGTTTTTGAAGGGTCCACTTTCACAGCTAGAAGAGAAAGGTTTATACAGTTATCTGGTACAACCTGTTTAATATCCATACTAAAACACTATTACATATATACATATGGGAACAAAGTATCCAAGACATAATTTAATGGGAAGTTACACACTTCCATAGCATTGAAAATGGACTCAAAGGCTAGATTTTGTAAGACAAAAATTACTGAAATTTGTTTCTATATCTAAATGCTTAACTCCAATCATTAAACCTTATCTTCCTTAAAGGCACTGAAAAGAAATTAAAATATATAATAAGTAAGGCTAAGATTTTTGTCACAATTATTTTTAGTAAAAGTCACGGACAGATCATGGGCAATAAACAAAAATTCACGGAGCCTGTGATCTGTCCGTGACTTTACTAAAAATAACTGGACGCAGGGCTAAGTAGGGGGGAGGAATGGAGTATCATGGGGGGGATGGGACTGACAGGCCAAGCTCCTCACCATGGTCGGGGGCACAGGCCCAGATACAGCGGCCGTAGCGTGGAGGGCAGAGCGGGCAGCAGCTAGGGGACGCAGCCACAGGGAGTGTACAGCCCCCTCTCCGGAGCTGGCCGCAGCTGCTGGACGGAGGCACAAAGGCCAGCTGCAGCCCTCCACCCCCCGCCCCCAAACCGCAGGGCAGGGGCTGCAGGGTCCTGGTTCCAGCCATCCAGCCCCAGTTGCAGGGCAGGAGTGCACAGTCCCGGCTTCAGCTGCTGACAGCTGAAGCAGAAGTAGTTGCGGAATCCGTGACTGCCATGACCCACGTGACTAAATCATAGCCTTAATAATAAGTAGCTATAAAAGAGATAATGAGACAGAATTTTAGAGGTTAGTAGTGATATTGTGAATAACAAGACTTCTAATTACCTATATGCCAGAAGGTTCAATAGACATTTAGACAAGTGTAGGTCTATAGTGACTGACTGCTTTCCATTTAATAGATTTTAAGGCTATCAGATCATCTAGTGGGACCTCCTGCTTAACACATGCCACCGAATTTTACCTAGCAATTTCTGTATGATGCCCAATAATTTGAGATTGAACAAGAGCATTTCTTTTAGAAATACATGCAGTTACGATTTAAAGACTTCAAGGCAATGGAGAAACGACTATTGTTCCAAGGGTTACTTACCCTTACTGTTAAGTGTGCACCTTATTTTCACTTTGAATGTTTAGTTTCATCTTGTTATACCTTTGTCTGCTGGATAAAATAGTACCAAAGGTCTTCTCCACACGTAGACAATAAAGACTAGGATCAAGTCAATCTTCTTTGATAAACTAAATAAATTGAGCTCCTTAAGTCTCATTGTATGAGATGTTCTGAACCAGACACTTGGTACTCTTAGAAGGGACACTTCTGGTCTCAAATGTAACTAAGCTACAGGGGATCCAATGCAGAACCAAGTATACTTTCTCTCTGTAAAAGATTTCTCACTTAAAAAAAAATCCCCAACATCATAAGAACTTACAGTTTGATCTGGTGAGACAGCTCCTAGGTGCACATAATTCTCTATCTTGCTTTGTGCAGTAGTCAGTAACTCAATATTTCAGAAAGTTAATATTCAAAGAAATACATTTTAAAACTAAATGGCCTTTGTTACCTGTTTCATTGCCACTGATAGTTCTGTATAATATAGTGTAATATCTGATAAACCCATTTTGCTCATCCACTGAAAGAGGTTTCCATACTAAAACGGCTTCAGCTTTTCCTACTTTTTTTGTCTGAACAGTGGGTCCTTTTGCAGGCCCTATAAAAGAAGATCACAATTAAGAGTACATTATAGTCCTATTAGGAAAAGCAGTATGTTAATGGACAACATATTTTAACTCTACATAAAACCATACTCAAACATTTTAGTGGAATAATAGCTTGAAGCTGTTATCTGCAAAGTCAGTTATTTCACTTCCTGAAAATACAAAAATATTTGTACAGCAAATTCCTCTAAAAATCTAACTTCTACACGAAAAATAAAACAACACATTTTGAACAATTAGGATATGAGTAATACCTTAGCATAATTCTTATAAAAAGCAAGTAAGGGATTACTTGGAAAATGTAAAACACAAACAAAGCAGTGGATCCAGACAAAGTGGATTGGAATAGAAACTTTGTTCAACTGATGAACTCTAGAAGATCAGGGAAGAACAAGATGTTTGATAGACGCAAGCATAGTACTAATCTTAAAACAAAATTAAAGAGGAAAGATCTTGGCAATAGCAGTGAAACAAATTTAACTTCTATCCTTTGCAAAATAACACTCTAAAAATGGGGGGAGGAGGGAAAGGAGAAACAGGAAAGAGAAATTGGTCACTTAACTTCTGAGACAATTGAAACACAAGTAGATCTTGCCAAAGAAACTTAGTACCTTTTTTTGTTATGGAATGGGTGAAAGGAAAATGGTTGATATTTGTACTTCAGTAATAAAACATTTGTTGATAATGTCTCATGAAGTCTTACACTCAATTCAAATAAGCATGGATAAAGTATAATGTCTTCTGTTTAACCACACTTCAGACAAATCTGAGTTCATCTGATGCATGGATGTGTGTTTCCAGTGAAGTATCAAAAGGATCTGCTAGGGGAAATTTTATTTATCACCTTTAAAGATCTAGGAGGTGGTAAATGCTTTAATGAAATTTGAAGACTATTGCTATTAGTTGCAAGTAAAGAGAAATGGTGAAAGAGACCAAAAGGATCTAGAGATTAGAATAGAAACATGGGTAGAAAGCATTCACCTTGGACAAGTGCAAACTAATATCTGTAAAAGAGTGATTGAAAGATCCATACATATTTAACAGGAGAGAAAAATATGGGAAGCGGATAGACAATAGACAAGTTTGGACATGAATTTACCACTGATGTGCCAACGAAGATGATCAATGCAATTCTGAGTTGCATATGCAAAGGTATGTCATGCAGCAAGCACGTGAAAGTCCCCCTCTATACAGCTCTAGTGTGACTGCCCTGGGAATACTGCTTTTCAGTCTGGACATCTTATTACTTATAAATTGAAGGGAGCTCAGATTCAGAGCACCATAAATGATTAGGAACCTGAAGAGAATGATATATAATGAATGGAATAATGTAACTTGCCTAAGGAATAACTATATGGGAGTGGAAATGCTGAGGAAAACCTTTTAGGGCAATGTGTGGATATTACAAGAAACACTGAAATGAGGAAAGGGAAAGTTTAGGCTGAATATCAGGAAATACCTCCTGATATTAACAGAAAAGCTTCAAAAACAGACTCCAATGAGAAACTGCTGAGCTTGAATTGATATGCAAACTAGATACAATCAACTTAGGCTTGAAGAGAGACTGGGAATGGCTAACCCAGGGGTCGGCAACCTACGGCACGTGTGCCAAAGACGGCACGCGAGCCGATTCTGAGTGGCACACTGCCTGCCCGGTGAGAGGAGGAGGGGCGGAGGGGCCGGAAAGC